TAACCTGCAAAAAAATTTAATAGACTCTTGGATATGACTTATCTTTTACTCAGAATTGATTTGAGCCACGAAAAGCTCAAGATAAATTTTGTGATTTAAATTCAGCTCTACTTTATATATATACTAAGGATAACTCGTGCCTAAAGGCACGGTACAACGTAAACCAACTAATTAATTTTTAAAAAATTACTTTAATTTTCTTTAATTAAATAAATTAAAATTAATATAGTCCCTAAATTTTTTTTGCGGACTATTTCGGAAGAGCTTGCTCTAAAAATAGCAGCTGAGACAATGAAAATATCAACTTGTATACATAATTGAAAAATAATAACTCGTGCCTGAAGGCACTGTACCATTTAAAAAAATAAAAAATTGATCATGCATACAAAAAATCAGGCACCGAACATGGACACACATCTTTACCAAAAAATCAGGCACCAAATGAAATGAATGTAATTAAAATGTAAACAATATGACCTTTTTACGAATCTAAAGCAACCGAAAACTATTGCTCCTACATGAACTAACCACAACAAATGTACCAAATGAATAATTGAACAAGTGGCAGGTCAAACATAAAATTGTATAGTACAACCATTTTCTCAAAAAAATTAAAAATAATTCATAAAAATTTTTAGTCTCAAACAACTTCAATCACACAACAAAATGACATATAAACTACATATATCAACCAAAAAAAACACATAAAGAAACAAAAATAACTATGAATTAACTAAAATAATACTCGATTAAAAATTACTCTTAGCAAATCCTCCAAGCAAGGACTAAACCAAACCAAACCATCCACAACTTTCAAGAGCACATAGTACCTAAACAACAACAAAAAAATCTACCAAAAATTCATCACAAACCATACAAAAGAAAACTCAAACAAAACATTGTAAGCAATATAACTCTTCAATAGAAAATGCACCCAAGTCTGTAGGCAAATATTTTATCCAAAAAAGTTTTCCCCACAACCATTTTTACTTCAAGAAAAGATAACATAAAGTTAGAAAGAAACAAAAAGAACAAAAGTTACACTTCAAAGTTACTCCTACCTGCAAAGTTGCGGTGGCATCTCGAACCTAAGTTTTCCCAACTCCATAGTTGTGACCAAGCACCAAGAAACCTGCTTGAGCAATTTTAGAGCAATCTTCACACTTGCGTTATTATAAATTTCCTCTTCCCCATCCTCCTAAACGATTTTAGCGCGATCTTGGGTCCTTTCCTCCTGAAATTGTTTAAATAACCAAATAGTAAAATAACAAAACATAGTAAACCAATTTAGGTTTATGAAATTGTTTAAAAGAGAAATTACGCAACATCAATATCAAAGACTGATGGTTAAAAATATGACTACTCGATGCCATTAAATTCATATGCTCATGATTAAGAAAAAGAAAAATCAATTAGTTATCGAAAAGCATAATCATAGCCAATTAGTAGAAACCGAAATACCACATGAACAAATCAAAACATTAAAATCCAAATACTATAAAACACTATTAAAAATCATAGGTACTATAATCCAAACTCACATTAAACTAAAATTCGTATTTAAACACCAAAAACAAAGTGAATGCTTTTGTTCCAAGTAGCTTGCAAAGACCAATAAATCAGCAATCCAAGTAGCTTTGCGCCACAACCATCTTAAAAAGAAGTGATAAGAAACATACTGAAGAATGTTGCAAAAAAATAGTACATTAAAATGCATACACCGGCAGTAGTCGATAAATAATTGGAGAAAAAAAATGATAATAATTGTGTTGTAAGGTGACAAAGTTTCTCTGCCAATTCAACAAGTTCTAACTTTCAGGGCTAGCCCTAGTAACCAAGAAAAGCTAATTCCAAAGAACTGGCAGTAGAAGTCGAAAGAAAAAGAATAAAAAAAAATTACTATAAGTAAAACACAAAGTCGTCCAACTGACTATATCCTCTTCATTTTAATTTATTTATATTCTTATTCTTCCATCACCAAATTTTTATGCTATTATTGTAAATCCTCACACTTTTATTTTAATATGTAGCAAGTAAATATATGAAATTTTTTTTTTGTAATTGAATTTGTACCAACTATGTTTGATGTCCAAATGTATGTTGTATAAGTTTGGGTTGGTTTTGGAAAGGTTTGGAATGGATTAGAAATGAAAAACAAAGAAAACAGGCAAAATTGAACCGACCGTACCGGTACGCCCGAAAGTTACCGTACCATATAGCGTATCAGTACGCTACTGTCCAGAGAGTCTACTGTACCGGTACTGTGTACCGGTATGCTCTATAAGTTCCAAAAATTTTAAGTCGCGATCTGAGGTCCACTTTTCACCTTATAAATACATAATGATGCCTCCATTAGTCCCATTTCAACACCTCAAACCCTAGAAAACCTTAGAGAGGAAGAAAGGAAGAGAAAAACACAAGATCAAAGGGGATTTGCGCCTTGGATTGAATCAAAACCCTAGATTTCTTCAAGAACACCAAGGTAGTGGTTTCTCATATTTTCTTACATTAAGGTTATGACTCATATATATGTATTCTTTTAACTCTAAATCTTGTATGTATATTATGAAATCTTTGATTCTTGATATTCTTGCAAATATTACCATGTTTTAAACAATACTATAGTTGAATAACCATTAAATCTCTTTTTTTGCCATGAAATCCTAATTTTCAAGATAAATGGATTTTTCTCTTGATTGTTCCTTCATTCTTAATTTCAAAAAAACTCTAGTACTTTGTATTAAACAACAAATGATATTTGTGATGATCTCTTGCTTATTTTCTTGAATTGTGCTTTTGTAATGCACATTGTGGAAATTGGGGATTTTGGATTTCATTGTGATTTGAGAAAATATTTGTGATTACATCTCTTGTATAGTTATTGTGATAGACTTGAATTGCATTCGAGCACTGCCGTAGAGTGTTAGAGATTAGTCTATCCCAGTGGGGGTGAGATAGTTTTCTAACACTTGTAGTTGTTTGTTGTTTGTGAGAGTAACCACTATTGTTTACGTAAGTTCGAGGCTAAGGAGTATACCTTGCTTAGGAAGGTTTCGTCAATGCCGTGAGAGACGGTATACGCCTTTCCCAAAATGTTTGGGATTGTGTGATTGTGGTGGATGAACGAGGTAGAATCGGGGTGTAGATTCATGGGAAGCAACTAACATACATGAGAATATAAGATGATGTTATTGCATGACTAAATTGATTTCTTCACTAATTTATTCCTTTCATTTAACTTATTGTTATGGTGTAAACTTGAGATCTAATTGTCCTTGTTTTCCCTCAAAAGCTATGTCTATGATATTTGTAAAATGTGACCGACTGTTTTGCATGTTTTCTAAACCTTGTTTGAGTTTGGGATAATGTTACTACAGAGCTTAGTGCTCACCCCCTACAAACAACATATTTTTCAGATTATGTTCTAGAGCTTAGAGCTTAGCACATAATCTTGTAAACACTCAAATTCAATATTTCAACAATTCACTATATATATATAGACTTACAATGTACAAAAAAAAAAAACTAATTTAGTGATCATGAGACAAAAAAAAATATTTTAGTCATATTATAGTTTATAAAAAATATATCTGATCAATATTGGTGATTAGTAAAACTAAAAACAGAGAGAATTTAGAAAGTGAGACAAGGGAGAGAAATCAAACCAGAAGCTTACACGGATCTCTACAATTGTAGTTTTTTCATTCTGCATTATTAGGGGCTAAAAGGTGCATTAAATGTACAAAGGAATGATTATTTGTTTCTCTTGTGAAAATATGAGGATGACATTGTTTTGTAGAATTAAATAAGGTCAAAATAGAAAATAATTTTTTTTTATATGTTAAGAGACTTTTAGAAATAATATAAATATAGATATCGATTCAACGGATCAAAATAAGTCTTGATTATTTTTTTGGGCCCACACAAGTTTCCAATTCTGTCTTTCCTCTTTGGAGGTTTTTCTCAAATTCAGTTCTCAAAAATCTTATTTTCATAATCCAGTCAATTTTAAACTTATTTTTTAAACTCAACTTCTTTTTTAAAACATCATTTGTAATAACGCCTTCCTATGTAAAAACGTTATTTTAAATAGTAATTTAAATTAAATATTTTTTTTGAAAATGACGTTTTTAAAATCGTCATTTATAATGACGTTAAAAGTAGTGTAGTCAAACGGTTTAAATTAACAGACGTTCCTAAAAACGTTGTTAAAGATGACAATTTATGCGAATTTATATATTTTCCCAAATCAGAAAGCCCTAATTTACCAAACCATACGTGAGAGTTACCCATATCAGAAATATGTCAACCCAAATCTCTCGGTTACCCTCCCTATTCCTACTGACGAATTCCACTCAGGCGTAGGCAGGTAAATCCGATGAAGTGCACTCCTCCGGTGAAGATCACTTAGTCGACGAAGACTGTTCCAGCGACAACTTTGCGCAAAAACGAAGATCCCCTTTCCTAATCAACCCAAATCTGAAATCCTCTTTCCAAATCAACCCAAATCCGCAATCCCCTTTCCCAATCAACCCAAATCTCTCAGCGACGATTTTCCAAAAAATTAACTCCCATTCAACAGCAGAAAAATCCCCAGAAAAAAATTAAAAAGCAGAATAAAATCTCCAAGTCGGTGGAAGTATGTGAAGGATTTAGAAACCAAAAGGGTAAAGGTGGTGCAATTATTTTAACACTCATGGGCTTGACAAAGTGATTGAAGGTGGTGCAGTTGTTTTAACACTCAAAGATTAGAGTATACTTGCAGATGGTGACATTAATGAAGGTAAACTATGCCTTTTCTTGACTTTCTTTTGCTACTATTTTATTTTTATATTATTTTTCTCTCTTTATCCTTTGGCATATTTGTTGGACCTAGATGTCCTAAGGTGACGTTACGTTGTATATACCAGGTCAATCGTTGGTGTTCTGGATCGATTTAGGGCAAAAATCGATTTGGGCAAAAAATATTTAGGGCAAAAATCGAGAATGGAGAATGGATAATGTGCTCACTGCTTAGCCGGTGGTGGAGGCTTTGCTCGCTGGTGGAGCTGTGGTTAGTATCTTTGTTGAAGTCGCTGGTGGTCGCTAGTGGTTCTTCTTGTGGATTAAGCTCCGATGGTCTTCCTCGTCAAAGACAAATGCTGTTGAATGGTTGGAGTTCGTCGGAGAAGAGTCTGGCTGAGAGTGGTTGAGCAGGAGGATACCTAAGCATCGTTGGAGGAGGAGGAGAGAGGAACAGGAGCAGGAGCAGACTCCGCGGTTGGGATCTAACCGCATATTATGCAGTTTAATGAAACGGCGTCGTTCCACTTGGTTTTGTAATTTTTTTTTTATTCTTCCTTACCAAAACGATGTCATTTTGGTCTAGCTAAAAAACATATTTGAAACATTTCACCTACCTTCGGCTTCTTCAAACTCAGGCGCTCCTCTCTCTCTCTCTTTCTCCAGCGACAAAAAAGCTCCTGATCGTTGAGGAGTACCAAGTTTTGTGCTGCTATTTCATTTGGATCTTCGTTCTAGCGCAAAGCTTTGTTGTTTCGAGCTTCGATGCAGACAAATCAGCTCTTTTGGAGTTCAAGACCTCAGTTTCAGACCCTTATGGAGTGTTATTGAGCTGGAGTTCAAGTAATTCTGATCATTGTTCGTGGTTTGGAGTATCGTGTGATTCCAATTCTCGGGTTGTGGTTTTGAATATTACTGGTGGAGATAATTCTGCTTCTTTGTCTTGTGCTAAATTTCCACTGCTTGGTTTTTGGAATTAGAAGGGCTTGTTTGGATATTAAAGTGAAATTGCTGAGTAAACTATCACCTTCAATTGCGAAGCTTTTTGTCACTTTCATTCAATGAATTAAACCTGCAATGTTACATAGTACTTTTTGGTGCTCCAAGTTGCCTTTGTTTCTCTAAGATGTGTTAAATTCTGATACTAATTGTAGTTGATGATTTGGGTTTCTTGAGTACAGTACAAAAAATTTTTAACTCTAAGCGTTTTTGCAATTTTGATTAATAATAATTAGTTACATAATGCTTCAATTGTTA